ACTAAAGTATCAGGGTTATGCTATGAAGTAAATGCTGGAGTCTAAGTGAACTCTACAAGAGCATAGCAGTTTAATGATTAGCCCTAATCGCAAGTGTTGGTTCTGCTATAGTGATACCTAGGTTAGCTATAAAAATGAGTACAAAAGGCTCTAGGAGGTTTACCTCGAGAATAAATTAGTCCTAAGATTGAGGATGATGATCTGATACATCTGAGATGACCAGTAATGTTAATACAGGTTACAGGTTCAGAGAGTTTAAAGTAGGGGTGTTAGGTATAGCAATTGGTAGGGAACCTTTGGGTGGACTCCTTAAATAGATAATATAAAAAAGTTACACATGTAGCCAATTGTACACTCTCCTGTAGTGGTTCATTGAACCACAATACCAATAAGTGATTAATAAAAATCAAAAAGACCAAAAAGGTCACTTTAACACCAAAAAAAAAAAAAAATAAGATCTTGAAATATTATAACTTTAATATAACTTTTATAAGAAAATATTTTATAAGTTATATATTATAAAGTTTATTAGTATTAGTATATTTTTTTAATTTTTAAAAATTTTTTTTTTAAAATAACCTTTTTGGTCTTTTAACTTTTATTAACAACTTTTTTAGTAATATGATTTTATAAACTACTATAGAAAAAGTATACAATTGGCTATATATGTAAATTTTTTATATTATCTATTTAAAAAGTTCATCTAAAAATTCTCTACCAATTATCATATCTAACACTTCTACTTGAATATTATATTTTAAATTTTCTAAATCTGTATTTGTATTAACATTACTGAGTCATGCTCAGATTATTGTTTTAATCTTAAAACTATTTATTCTTAAGATAAATCTTTAAGAGTCTTCTGTATCTATTTTTATAACTGATCTAGTATTGCTATGACAAAACCTATACTTGTAATTAGAACTAGTTATTAAATTACTATGCTTTTATAAAATTTACTTAAACCCTAGCATTTACTTTATAGTCAATTCAAATTACTTTAATATACTTCTGCTATTCTTTAGACTTTTAATTTAGATAGTCTAATAAAACTATGATTAGTTCATTAGTATATTAGATCAGTTCAATATTTTTTTTAGTTTATTTTAGTAATCTAGTTAGTAATACTTCTTATTTAGAGGTTTTTGTTTATTTGAGTACTTCAATATTGGTATTTATTTTCTAAGACTAGTCTTTACAATATCATTATTAAAAATTTGTGCTATTTTTTTACTTAAATGAACTTCTTGTTTTTTAATTTTAATAAATTTAAACTATTACAAAAACTTATTTAAAGTTTGCATTATCTGATGCTAATTTGTATTTTTCTGTATAATGTTATACTTATACAGATGTTATATGATCTGCCAATTATGCTAATATAATTGCTATTATAGATATTTTAATCTAATTGTTAGAAACAGTTGTTATAATACAAATATTATATAAATAATTATCTAAATTTTTACTGTTAATAAGATTTAAACATTAAACTCTTTCTAATGATTACTTGAACCAAACTTTTCAAAAAGCTAAATTATAGAAAATAATATAATTAATATATTAAACTTTATGAAAACCTTCTTGAATTACTGTACATGCATTGTTGAACATTGAAATAGAGTTGAAAAAGAGTTGCAATCTTGTGATGATAGTTTAAAGAACACTCTAAAACTATAGAAGAAGTAGTCAGTGAAAGCCAAGATTTCTTATTAAGTAAATAACAAAATTGGATATATTAGTTTTATATAATTGTAAAATCTACAAAAAACACTTACAAAGGTTAAGAATTTACAAAAGCTAAAAAGTTGGTTTACTTAGCATTCTTACTTTTTCTTTGAAGAAAATTTTGTAAAAGTAGGTAATTCAGCTTATTCCCTTTTAAAAATCAATATGTAAAGTCACCAAAACAGTCAGCAGTGTTTACTTTCTAAACAGGATTGTTTACAATATAGATCAAAAATACTACAGCAATACAAACATGACTATATATATGCCTCAAGCTGCTGGAAACCTGTTAAATACTGTTTCTGGACTAACCAGTATTTTATACTAACCCTTTATAATAAAGTTGAAGTTTTTTTCTCCTTTTTGGTTTTTTGTTTAAATAATCTAAGTAAATAAGAAGATAGTAGAGTAATTTTTATTTAGTATAGTTTTTAATTTTTACAAGTCTGATACAGGCTTATAATTGTGATTGTCTAATATCGATAAATTGCAAGTTTTATACTCAATACAGGCTTAAAATTATGACTATCTGATTTTTTGTAAATTGCAAGTTTCATACTTTCTTTTTTTTTTGTTTTCTTCTTTCATGTTTTTATTTCTTGTTTTGTATCTTTTATCATTTACTTCTATATTTCTGTTTTTTTTTTATATATAAAATCTTTTTTTTGTTTTTTTGCTTTCTTATAAGAAAACATTATTAGATTGATAGTATTCTATTGTAGGGTGGCAGTTAGACAAGCAGTCTACCTCTGTTTGGGGTAATGCAGCAGGTCATACTTAGGTACCAATAAGATATCCAGATGATGCTAGACTTAAGTATTAGAAAAATTCTTTGTAATCTATATAGTATTAAGAATTCTAATAAAGTACTAGTATAACTGCTTAAGTTAAAAAAAAAAATAAGATTTGAACATTCAATATATTATTTGAAGGTTGACAACTTATCTACTTTACTAAGTTGTTATACTTCTTAATTTTTAATTTCTTTAAGAACAAAAAAAGATATATATTATTAATTTTGGTTTTAATTTTATAATTTGTATAATTAAAGATAGAAATGGCTTAAATTTAAGCTAGCTTAAACTGGCTTTTGAGCCAAGCTATTTAAGCCAGCTTAAGCCAGCTTAAGCCAGTTTAGAATCAAATTAAATTATTCAAAACTTATTTATAATTATATTTTAAATTAATCTAAAAGTATATATATTTTTTAAGAATATTGATAAATCACACTACTAGTATTTAACACTATATTTCAATTTAGCCAATTAGATCATCAATTGATCATTGATCATCGATCATCTAATGATTAATTGTAAACAAAAATTCTAACCAATCACAAACTATTTACATGATTTTAAATAGTGTTTTTTATAAGACAGTTCAGGTCAAGTTACTTATAAGACTGAAACTAAAAAAACCTGATCTGATCCAAAACCTAGGCTGAATTCAATCAACATGTGTCATTTTATTTTGGGTCAGATCTAATTAAAGACTTGAAACTGATCAGGTCAGATAAATCATAGACTCAGACCTGAACTGTGGCCAGTTCTGGGTCTTCAGTTAGGGTTTGCGAAACTTTAATTATAAAGAACCTCCTAGCAAAATTTCAAACTTAGATATATATAAACAATTAAAGTAAACCCATTTTTTTACAAAAAAAAAAACATAAACTTTATTTGAAAACCACCTTCTGCAGCCTAATTAAAAATGCTTCTTATGAAATATTACCAATAGAACCTTTATTGTTCTAACTTTAACCCTCTAACCTAAACTACAAGCTAATTTATTTTCAGTAAACAATTACAATTTTTGTGGATGCATTATCTAAGTTGTCTCAGAGCACTGTCTGTAGATTTGTCAGCAGCCATGTGATATTTTTGTGGTGCAAACGAATCAAAGAACTCAAAAACGTACTAACAGACCTAGAAAAAAGAACAGGCATTAGTAACTTATTCACAAATAAAAAAGTAAGAACAATGAAGAAAATAAAACCATACTCTCTGAATTCATAAGATATACACTTCATAGTTCCCTTGAAAACTCAAAAATGCCCTAACAAACCTAGGAAAAAATAAAAAAATAAAATGAATAAAAAGTGTTAGTAGCACAATTACAAGCTAAAAAACAAGAACAACAAAAAAATGAAACCATATGTCCTGAATTCACAAGATAACACTTTATAGTTCTCAGGAAAGCTCAAAGATGCCCAACAAATATAGAAAAAAAAAGAACAAGGTTAGTAATATATTTACAAGCCAAAAAGCAAAAACAATGAAACATGAAATCATTACTTTCCAGATTCACAAAACATATACTTCACAGTTCTCAAAAAAGTTCAAAAATGCACAATAGAAGAAAAAAGAACAAGTTGGTAACTTATTCATAAGCCAAAAAGCAAGAATAGAAAAATAAAACTATATGTACTGAATTCACATCACAATTTTCAAGAAAGCTCAAAAGTGCCCTATGGCCTAGACAAAAGAATAAATATTAGTAACTCATTCACAAGTAAGAAATGAAACAATGCTTTTGAATTCACAAGACATATGCTTTATAGTTTTCAGAAAAGTTTTAAAGACACCCTACCAAGCCTAAAAAAAAATAGCATTAGTAACTTATTCACAATCTGAAAAGCAAGAATAATGAAGAAATAAAACTATACATTCTGAATTCACAAGATATAAGCTTCACAATTCTGAGAAAGCTTAGAGACTCCATAAAAAGCCTAGAAAAAAAAAGAACAAGCATTAGCAACATGTTTACAAGCCATAAAATAACAATAAATATCTAAATTATATGTCCAAAAAAGCTCAAAATCTCTTTTGGTAATACTTAGTGTTAGTAAAAAAGCAAGAACAAAATGATTTAAGTTATCAAATGTATATTAAATTGAATTTTACTAACACATGATATTAATGTAGTGCAAATCAATAAATGAGTCTAACAAAAAACTCCAAGAAAATTGTATTTTTATACATAATGCAAAATGTAACAAAAATTGAAATATTAGAGATTGGAACTACCTAAAATTTTATTTGTCTCAAAGTAAACTTAATTCAGTTCAGTACTATGAATAAATTTTTTATACAATTAATAGGTTCAATCTTTAGTTACAAAGGTGCAACTCACTTAGCAATTTGAACCAAATAACCCAAACTCAATTATTATAAAAATAAAGTTCAATATAATGCAAGTTATTTTATTAATTAAAACTCATACAATTCATCTTGAATTGTTCAAAATAAAAGCTCCTTAACAATTATAGCATTATACTAACTCCCTTTAGGACAAGTATGTGCATTGTGCCCTTCTTTGTTACAAATACCACATTTTCTTTCTTTAATTTTACTAGATTTACTAACATTCAAATCTGCATCTTTTAATATTTTTTGAGGTCTTCCGACCCTATTCTCTTTGTCACCTTAATTATGCCTGGGTATCTGCTTTTTTTTTCTCTTAATATCTGCATTTACATTATTTGACCCTTTGGGCTAACTCTTTGTTCTGACACTTATAGGATTACTAATAGTAAGCACAAATTCTGCAATATTATTACTATTTCTAGCTTGATTTACAACTTCATTTTCCATTTTACCAGTAAAGTTTTTATGAATTTCATAAAGTTCCTCTACTCTACCCATTGCAATGGCTAGATTTAAAGTTTTTTTCATGATATCAAATCCTTCTCCCTATTGTTGTTTTTGAGTCATTTTTTCATAAACCTCAGATGTAAAGACGTGAGTTCTCTAAAGACTCTCCAAGTGTGAAAAATCAATATTGACACAATTATTAGAATTAACTACACCAAATTTCTCACATGGCATTGCTGAAACTGCTAGCTTAGCAAACAGGTTAGTCCCTAATGCAAACAAATTCTGATACCAACACATTGGCATGAGTCCAATATGAAATTTAGCATTCAGAGATACAAGCATAATCGTGAAAAAATGACAGCATATAAGACCACAGTTTATTAATATTAGGCATGTGCATAGGTGTCCAGTGTTATCATATAATACAACAAAATGTTTACTCTTCTTACTAATAGAGTGAATATGCCAAAGTTCACAAATTTTCATTGTGTCGAGACCAGAGATCAGTTGATCAAGTTCTATTAAGCAGGTGTCAAACATATTCTCAGAAAATACACCCTTTGGTGAATCTGAACTAACCTAAAAAAGAATATAACATAAGACTGCTGCAAAGTACATACAAACTAAATGCTTAATACTTGTAATAGCTTATACTAAGATTTGGAATTCCTATTTAAATCTATAATATAGTATCTACTAAAATACACATAAATCTAAATCTCTAACCTAACTTTCAAACTAACCTTAAACTTAAACCTCTAATCTAACTTCCAAATTCTCAGCATAAACCAATTTAAGCATAAGCTGCTACAATATTTTATACACATCTGTCATCTGAGTTCATAGTTCAAACTAGTTAATTGACACTGATAATGCATGTTTCAGTTCATTTCATGCCATTGTAATTTAAGAATTACTGATGTTAAGTAACATTGCCACAAAATATCAATCTTTTGAAAGTAATGATCATAATAATCTTCATCTTGGCTTGCAGGCAGCTTACCAACAGCTTCATTATAACTAATAAACTGGCTTTCTTTTAATAACAATCTTTCAACCATATGTTCAAGCTCCAAAAGTGATGAATTTCTATTAATATTGTTTTTAATAATTCTATTGTAAGACTTGACATGCTGAGTACTTTGTATTTCTGCATTAAATGCATGATGGGTAAAACAAAGAGCCCATGCTTTCCAACACTGGTAAAGATAACATTGCATATAATTGGTAGTATTGGTATATTCATTTAACAGTGTGATACATCTTTTCTCAAAAATCGATTCTATATGACTATTGTGTGCATAACAAAATGCAGAAAAAAAATTACACCACTTATCATTACCATATTTGCTTATAAAATGTTTTTCTAAATTTTTTCAGATGTGAAATAGACAAAAATGATACTTTGTCATTGGCTAGGAGATACTTATTGTAGCAATCATAGCAGGATCAGCATCAGTGTAAAGCAAGCTTGGTGCTAATCAACCTGTCATATTAAAAAGGCTAGTAAATAGCTATGTGAAACTGTTCTTAGTTTCATCAGAAAGGAGGGCCATAGCAGCAAGACAAAAATGATTATGATTGTCTACAAGGACCAAAACACATAAAATCATCAAATAGTGGTTGGTTTTGGCCATTGTGTCAAAAAGTATAATGTCATAAAAATGAGCCCAGAGCTCTTATTGAGATGGTCTTATTCAGCAAAGTCCTATAAGATGATTATTCTGACCTTCAAATCGGGCGTTAATATGAAAGGCTAGGTTTTCTTGCTTCTGTTTCATCAATTCGAGATACACAAAGCCAGCATCACTCTTAATATAATTTTGGTAATGAATGAATTGAGTATAATTATAGACATTGTAAGGTGAATATAATGTTTGAGATTTTTATGTTGTAAAACTTCAATTATTGCTCTAACTTTTACACTACATTTTGCTAGTAACTTTATATCATCACACATTATTGGGATGAGCTTTCTATAGTGTGATGAAAGAACATTTATATTTTTTACAAGCTCATGATTATGCTGGTCTTTAACCTTCATTATATAGATTAGATTATCCTTCTTCCAATGGTAAGTATTAATGTAAAACTTGCAATTACAAGTATTATGCCTTGTATTACATCTATTATTGGTGTGAGCTTTCTTCCTTGGTGCATATGGCTGACCTCTTGTATAAGCATAGATACATCGCTAAGGTAAATTATCACCTTTATCCTTGTCACTGTGGGTGATTGTGAATGCAAACCCTTGTTCTAACCTATGTAATTTCAACCATCTAATAGGGAAAAAAGATTTTAGTTTTCTTATTATAACTAAAGCATTTTAGTAATAATATATAACTTTATACCTAATTATAAAACTACTTATTCATTAACTTCTTTCTAGCTTTTAAAATTCATCCTAACTGCAATTGGATGTAATGGCTCATTTTTGGTTTTGGTTGCATTTTTATATTCAGTACCATCTTCATTCTCTTGAAAAAACTCATTAAGATTAACAAATTTATCAAAGTTATGAACAACTTGACCAACATTATAGGAATAGTTATAGACAACTGAATGGTCATGAACAACTGAAAGGTCATAGATGACAGAATGGCTGTGGGTAACAGAATTGCTGTAGGCAACAAAATGTTTATGGGTGACAAAATGTTTATAGGCAATGGAGTGATTTTGAGCAACAAAAAGGTCATGGACAAAGAAAGGTTGTGGGCAACAGAATGGTCAATGCTATTAAGGTCACATGTGAAAGATTCCTTGGCACCATGAAAGTTACTGCATGCAAAAGATTTTTTAGCACCATAAAGAATACTGCAAACAGAAAACTCCTTGGCACCACAAGAGTAACTGTAAATATATAATTCTTTGACACCACAAAAGTCACTACAAGAGGCTGATTCTTGGAAATCTGCTAGAGAAAAATCTATGGAAGACAATTCTTGACTTATATTCATATTATTTGTACTACCTTCACTATGCATTATTGTTATTATCGCTATTGTTTAAAAAAAAAAACAATCTATTATGCACTATGCATATGATTACAAATCAAAATAATACGTATACTTTTTGAAACCTGTTTGATTGGCCTGGTTTATCCTTTAAATTGTATTGCATGCAAATTTGCCTGCATCTTTTTTTAAAAAATTAATTTTTATAATAAAATTTTAACAATTAA